GTGGCCGCACTTGACACTGCCCTCTCTTTAAGGGCACATATCATTTTTTATAACTCTGCTATCTTTTCCCAAGTCTTTATTATCCTGCCTAGCCTTGTACTGATATTATTGTTTGATGCTAATTACCCAAGTTAATGCATGATGTTAAGGATAACCTGAGAACACTTGCCCAAGTTTATAAGATATGCATGTGACAGTTCAAACCTGCTTTGCTGCTCTTTCAATGCTTTTGCTGCTGTACTGTGCTTCTCTAGTTGTCTAAATGCTTCTACTGCTAGCCTGCTAGACTGCTACTAGCTTGAATAGGTGTGCACTTGTGCTGGTGGTGGTGTTGCTTGTGTTGTTGCTGCTAATTAAATGCTTATACTCGCGCTGCTGTTGATTAAATTCTTATGTTGTTGTTGCATGCTTATGCTACTGATTCAATGCTTTAGAAATTGATTGAATTGAACCTGTTGTAATCCTTCATGTTATACTCGTATTTAATTTTTGGGTTTCTATTTGATTTTTTAGTCTGTTATATACTGTTCATCTTCAATTTCTTCTGTAACCTGCTTGGAGCTTAGAATACAGAGCCCAACTAGTCTCATATACAACTAAGACCAATGATTCATGCTCAATTCTGTATATGTATGTATGACCAGTAAAGTTGGAAGGCCCAAATCTTAACGTCAATATGCTCAATTTTGTACCATATTCATGCTCATGCATCACCAGTTACTGCTTTTTTTGCTTGATCTATTTTGGCTCATAACCTAAGTATACCAAAACTGATTAAACGATTTCTCCAACTTGCCAAAATTGTCATAATTGTCTCCTGCCTTGTGATGTTAGTCTCTGTGCACTTACTAGTATTGTTAGTTGAATGGATGGTCGTGGTAGTAGAATAGGAATTTTTTTAGGTTAGTGTTATAGTGATGTTCATTTCATTACCTAAACTTTGTACCAATGTACCATGCAGGTATGTATAGATTACTATTGTAGAACAACATCAGGTTAATCTGTTGCATTCAAGTTGTTGGAAGTTTTGTTATGCCATGCTTAGTGTTTACTAAATTGGGGCATTTGGGCATGTATGTATAAATTTTAGCCTCTTGAAAGAATATTATTTACTTCCAGTGTATTTCACTAATAGCTTATCTGGATCAGGATCTAATGTCGTCGAGGCTGCTGCTGCTATGATAGAAGATCAGAAGAAGCTTGGAGATGCGTGCCATAGTTTTAGTTGATGTTGCCACCAAGTTTTGGTGCTTGTGTATCTGTTTTTGATTGTATGTGCACTTGTTGGACGTGCAAACGTGTATGTGCTCATGTGAGTATTTGACTGGATGATTTCTGGATTTAATCAGTTAATTGAGAGATTTATTATTTTGTTGTTCAAATGTGTAAATTGAAATCTATGAATGAAAAAGATCAAATGTTCTACTTGACAAAATAATATTTGGGCTCTAAAAAGGCTATGGCCCAAACTATAGTGGATCAGAACATTGTGTATTTTAGAAAAAACCAGAAAAATAGGCTTAATGAAATGGTTTGCAAAAAGGCCACGGCCCAGAAAATAAAAATGCTAAATTGTTGGGCTAGGCCCATGTAGCTACCAAAAATTAGCAGAAAAAATAAATATTAAAAAGGCCGAATTGTTGGGCTAGGCCCATGTAGAAAACCGAATTGGACCGGGCTGAATCTTGTGCCACGTCAGATTGCCACGCTGGATGCCTACGTGGCCTGGGGAGGTTGCTAGTGACCAAAACGCCACAGTAGACATATTTTGGTCATAAATGTCTACGACTATTCCAGAAGAAAGGTCGCTATAGTCAGTTTACGACGGCCAGCTTTTGACCTTATGTTTTTG